TGAGAAGCAGACACTTGAGAAGAGGAAGTTTAGCCTAGAGAAGATCTGTGGGTGGACACAGCCCCTGTCCTCAGATATTGGAAGGGCTGGCTTGCGGCAGAGAGATTTGACTTGTTCTGTATCACTCCAGAGGGCAGAAGTAGGACCAGTGGGGAGATTTCAGCTCAAGGTAAAGAAGGACTTTGTAACCATTAGAGTTGTTTCATTACGGATTCAGCTGCCTTGTAAAGTGGGTAGTTCTCTGTCACTAGAGGTATACATACGGAAGCTAACCATCACTTGGGGCATGTTGTAGAGGGGATTCAAGCTGTGACACCTATGGGTCCATCCAACTCTGGAGGATTCTATGATTCTATAATTTCTCCATATGTTTCCCTTCCTGCTAACTTTCTAGGATAGGAAATTTAGGTGGTAAAATTTGTTTGTGAATTCCCTGAAGTCAAAGGAATACATAATCTTTTTGCCTTTTGTGATGTGACATTATGTTATTTCCCCAGTTACCATGCTATCAAATCTGTTGGGTTTGGTCAGACCAAACTGTGCAAGGCTCATCTTGCACAGTGACAGCAAAACTACCCAAATACTTGTCATGCTTCTTGAGCCCCATAAGGTGATGAGGAAGGTTTGGAAAGAAGTTAGTCAGAAGCAAGGTCAAGCTGGGGGAAATTTTAGATAAAGTCTAAATCCTGAACTCAGAAGGAATGTGGGAGGAAAATACAAGAAGGCCATGATGATTCATGTCACTGAGTCACTCCCTAGATGGGGCATGATTCCCACATGGGTATGAATGTGGGTGAGGAGGGGACAGAGAGAGTGTTTGGGAAATCAGAGTGATGAAAGCATTGTTAATGAGCTTCAGGGAGAGGAAGGGCAGTGTAGGTAATAAAGCAATGGTGTCTATATTAGCCTGCTTGGGCTGCCATAACAAAATACTATAGACTGGGTGGCTTAAACAACAGAAATTAATTTTCTCACAGTTCTTGAGGCTAGAAAGTGAGGATCAGGGTGCTGTCAGGGTTGGTTTCTATGAGTTCTCCCTTCCTGGCTTATAGATGGCTGCCTCCTCTCTGTGTACTCACGTGAACTCTACTCTGTCCATGTGGAGGGAGAGAGAGATCTCTGGTGTCTCTCCCTTTTCTCATAAAGACCAGTCCTATCAGATTAGGGCCCCACCCTTGTGACCTAATTTAACCTTAATTACCTTCCTAAAGACCCTATCTCCAAATACGGTCACATTGGGCGTTAGGGCTTCAACATAAGAATTTTGAGGCAACACAGTTCAGACCAAAATGGTGTCCATTGTAGTTATTGTGGATTGTCTTTGAGGGTGAAGTGATTGTCCTCTTGGAGGAAAGAAAGGACATTGGTTGAGGGCCAGCTGAGTGTCGGTCACTGCTGATTCATAATCTCATTTGACTCCTGCACAACTCTGTCATGAGAAAAGATTGAAGCTTGCAGATGTTATGATCATCCAGATAGTAAGAGGTCAAGAAAGCATTCAAAGTCTAAGTTTTAAGCTCATGCTCTCTTCTCACTAGAGGGGACTTTAACTTGAAATCTTGCTGAATTCCTATGACTAAGTCTTTAAACTTGGAGCTGCCAGGAAGACTATTGGCAGACCCATTTTGAGGGTCTGGGAAGGTCTCTGAATGGGGAAGTGAATTAATCAGTGTTGTGCTTTGGGGAGGTAACTGGCCATGTGAATGGTGGGTGACTGGAGATCATCTAGAAGCCTGCTGCCATGGTCCTGTTAAGATATATGATAGCCTGCACAAGGGCGGTATAAAAAGTGCTAGATGCCTATGATATTGTGAAGGTGGAGTCAGGGTTTTGGTAAATGATTGAGTGAGGGCCATAGGGTGAAGGGAGGAAATCTCAGATGTGGCCAAGGTGAGCAACTGGGAGAATAGTAGTGCTCTTGCAGAAATGAACCGAACCTGGGCCCGGGACATTCTGGAATCCCCAAAGCTCTCCTGCTCTCATTCCATCAGATGGTGAGGGGGGATCTCAGGAAAGCCTGCAACTACTTAAAGTCCAATGTCCCCCTTTGGGGGGATGTTGGAGAGGACCTCTTGAACTTAAGGTTAATCTAATATGGTTAATCATTACTGGTAATTATGCCCATAATAGTACAACATTAGGCTTAATAATTTATCAAGTGAGAGATGATAAATGAAAATATAGTGGCTCAGGAGAGGCAGGCTATAGGCAGAAGAAAATTTTTATTAAAAGTGGGCTGTTATCCCCACCAAGCTTTGAAGAGAAAGAGGTGGATGTATTTAAACATCCTGCTTTCCTCCCATTTTCCCCTTCTTTTTTTGAACTTGCAAAGCATTTTAATGTTTATGCTATAATGAGGATGAGATGTAGTCTGGACCAATAGAACTTTTCACACCATGAGAATTCCACTTATAGTCAGAGGCAATAGTAATTTACTTCTTTATGCAAAGTTTACTGGATCCTGTTTTTTAACTGGCAGTCTAGTGGTTAAGATTTGGTGCCGTCACTGCGGCAGCACAGGTTCATTTCTTAGTCAGGGAACTATACCACCCATCTGTTGGTTGTCATACTGTGGTGGCTGTGTTTTGCTGTGATGCTGAAAGCTATGCCACTGGTATTTCACAGAGTCACCCATGGTGGACAGGTTTCAGCAGAGCTTCTAGATTGAGACAGACTGGAAGAAAGACCTGGCCACCCACTTCCAAAAAAAATGGCCATGAAAACCCTATGCATAGCAGCAGAGCATTTTCTGATATAGTGCCGGGAGATGAGAGAATGGCACCAAAAGATGGGACAGGGTTCCACTCTGCTGTACACAGGGTCACTAGGAGTCTCAATCCACTCAATGGCACTAACAACAAATTCTTTTAACAAAGGCAAGCATGCTTATGTTTTACAATGCAATTTAAAGTACAGATAACAAAAGATTAAAACTTTTAAGTTCGTAGTTTCTCCTTCTTAATGAATGGCATCCACCCAGTTACTGAAGTCCTGAATCTAGGAGTTCCCCTTGATTACTCTTTCCCTCATTTCCCAACCTGATCCATCAACAAGGCCTGTCAACTTTGTTTCTCAAACATTCCTCCAATCTTTTTGCTTGCCTTGTCTCGACTGCTACCACCTGAGACCAAGCTGCTGTCCTCCCTCACCTCGATGGAACAATAGCCTCCCACATATTTCTCTGTTTTCTCCCTTGCCCCCAACACTACACTCTCCACACACTTCAGAGCAATCTTTAAAAGCAAATTAGATTTTGTTCCCTCCACTACTGAAAATCCTGCAACGGCTTCTGATTACACTTAGAATCAAATCCACGCTTCCTAGCCCGGCTTGCTGGGACCTACATGAAGTATCCCCTCCCAACTTTCCATCTCATCCTCTTGCCCACCACACTCCAGCCACTCTGGCCTTCTTTCTGCTTCTCAACCATGATGGCCTTCTCCCTTGGGAGTCTTTGCTTTGCCAGAATGCTTTCCCTCTGATCTCAGCATAGTTAACCTCTTTTGTCATTCTGATGTCAGCTTAGAGGTCACCCCCACAGAGGGACCTTTCCCCGACTCTCCAATCTAAAGTGGTCACTCATCACACCTACTCTAATCTATTCATGGCTCTTACCACTCTCTGATCTTTTATTTATTTATTTATTTCCTCTGTTAGAATATAAGCTTCTAGAAAGTAGAGATTTTGTCTGTACTATTCACAGTGGAATCCCCACTGTCTAGAATAGTGCTTGACACATTGAGCGATGCTAAGTTAATATTTATTGAGTGAATGAATGAAGGCACTTACACCACTGTCTCCTCATCATTCCAGAGACCTCCTTCTGGCCCAGTCTTCAGGGATCTCCCTCTCCTCTGACTTAGCATTTGGCACTAAGCACCCACTGCCTTATATTGGGGGATAGGGTCTGGTACAGCTAGGACAGTTTCTTGGAGTAATCTGTCTTTTGGGAAATAATGTGTTTTGTTCTAGATTTAGACCATCTTAGGGATATTAGACAAATAGCTACCAGCCTTCCCCCGTGGCTCAGCAAGAATGGGGATAATTATAGTAGTTTGGTATCAAATGCTGCTACGCCTTCTCTTCCTGAGTATAGAAGGACTCTAGAACTTTCTCTTGGACCTCAGATGCAATTGAGTTGATGGCGCAGCATCATGATTAGTCAGCACAAGATCCCTCTCTTGTTTCACCGAATATTTTTTCCTTCATCTCCCATTCACAATCCCATTCTCTTTTCGCCTTCCAGGCTTCCACTCTTAGGTATTTGATATATGTCCCTCCAGTCTGTCTTCTAACCTACGTATATCCTTGAAAAATGCAGTGTTTTGTGCATGGGTCTTTGGGGTCTCTGGGACCTTTGTAAAAAATAAAAATACTATATCGATTTAAAGACATTATTATTAACAGCATCTCTTGTTACTTGGGAGCACATGGAATCACAGAATTTAATAGCTAGAAGTCACTTGGAAGTCATCGGCCCTACCCCCTGCCTCTTTGACAAGTGAGGGGACTGAGGCCCAGAGACTTCCTTTTAAATGAATTTCTTTCAGCAAAACTGTCCACATTTACTGAGAGCCTGCATTGGTCAAGATCCCAAGCAAGGAGTGCTGGAGGACACAGAGGTGAATGGCACAGGCCCTGTTCCTGAGCCCACAGCCTCTTGGGAGACTTCAGAGGAGGCCTGGTGGGCTGTGGAGCTTCCCATGTCTTCTTCACTATTGTGCACTGAACTCACAAAGGATTCACAGATGATCTGTTTTGGGGATGGGTCCCACTACCCCTTCCCCAGTCGTCTTCTTTTCATCTTCACTAGTACCCAGGTGCCCACATGAGCCTCCTGAACCAGCGCTCCTGACAGACTCCAGCACAGTCAAGTTCCTGGCCTGCCTCTGCTCTTTCTTGTCTTTCTCTTGGCTGACATGTCTCTTCTCTCTTTGGCCCACTCTGAGTGGCCTGGTAGAGCATAGAGTCCTCACCTGACTTTCCCTTTTTGTTTCCAGATTGGAGCCTCTCTCTTTGCCAGTAACATTGGAAGCGGCCACTTTGTGGGGCTGGCGGGGTCAGGAGCAGCTTCAGGCATCGCCATGGGGGGCTTTGAATGGAACGTGAGTAACATCAGAGACGTTGTGTCCTGGAGCTGAAAGGCGCTTTAGCAGTTGACCAGTTCAATCTATGCTCAGAGATGCTCTAGATGTTAGGGAACCTCTCAGGGCCACCCTGGGTGCAGATGGAGGAGGGGCACAGCTTCAGGATCCCCTGGGTCCTGATCCCTTTACACCAAAGTAGCATGAGAAAACCACTGACATGACAGCATTGGTGTTTCTTCTCTTAAAAAGTCAAGTCCTCCTGTACCCTTTCAGCCACATTGGAGGTTTGGAAATGCTTACCAACAGATTTCCATTATTATTATTATTTTTATTTTTTAAAAGGTCTGTATGGTATTTTACTCCTTGTAAACCAGGGAAGAGGTGAAAGGAGCTGTGATGTCAGTGGTGCAGACCCTTTGGGTCCCCTGCACTGTTACCCAGCTACCATTCCTGTGGGCCAATCAGGCAGCAAAGCCCTCCTCCAGTCTCTGATGGCCACCTAAGGAGTTGTCGTCAGAGCCCAAAAAGAAAATGCTGGGTGATTGTCCTGCACAGCTGAGGATCCTGCAGGATGGGCTAAGATTCCTCCTGGTTTGACTCCACCTCTTTTTCGATTTCAGGCCCTGATTATGGTGGTTGTGCTGGGCTGGGTGTTTGTCCCCATTTACATTAAGGCTGGGGTAAGTATCTGCTCTGTTATTCCATTTCCTGCTGACAAATATATGTGTGAGCTTGGTCCTCCTGGAAGGCAGAAGAGACTTTATGGGATACGCGGCAGAGAAAGCCTGTGGCTTGGGTTTCTTTCCCAGGTTATGAAGTTCCTGACTGCTCTTGGGGGCGTTAAACAGATTCACTCAGCCACAACTTGTCCCTCTAGGAAGCCTTCCTAAGCAATCCCGTTCTATTCAGAGCCCTCTGAAGCATCACATCCCTTCATGCTTGGTGTGTACTTGCAAGATACTTGCATGCATTTGCCTATGGTACGTAATTGTCTCCTTCTGCCCCTGGAATGGAAGCTTCATGAGAAAAAGAACCATATTTCCCCCTCGTTTACATATATCAGCAGCTCTTGTTTGCTGAGCATGCAGCTGGTACTCAACTGTCAAATGCATTCTTGGTCTCTTGACTGAATGTCTCTGACATTTTACATAAGACAGCTTTAGTATCATCTGTTCCATGAGATATAATGAGCACCTTCTCCGTGTAAGTCTGTACATTAGGAGCCGAAAGCAATATGGAAGAAACACAGAGTAGACTCTGCATCTTCTGGAGGCTCATGGACTATTGGTGACACATATCTGATCCCAGGAGACAGCAGGCTCAGGGTTGAGGGAATGAGACGGAGTGTGGTTGGAATTTGAAGAAAGGAACTGGGAGAACAGTTCAGCAGGCCTGCAGCTACAATCCTTGGCAAGGCATGTGTGCAGAGCAGGGTGAAACACATGCCCAGCCTGGCCACATTGTTTGGTGCACTGAAAAGATGCCACTGTTGTTATGATGTTCACAGTAGGTGCTTTGTATAGGAGTATCTATCTATCTATCTATCTATCTGTCTGTCTGTCTGTCTGTCTGTCTGTCTATCTATCTATCTATCTATCCCCTCCTCCTCCAGGGGAAAGATTTGCCTTCTTAGTTATGTGCAGTCGTGTGTTCATTAAAAAAGGTGTTTATTGGGCACCTTCTATGTCATGGGATAGTACCCAGCTACCTCTGCAGTGGTGGGGCATGTGGGATTGAGATGAGCAAATGGCTGGCAGGATGGAGGCCATCTGTCCACATCTCGGACTTCTCTGAACAATGAGGATTAACCCTTGATCATACTTCTGACACCAGGTGGATGCCACTGCTCTGCTTGCTTGGGCCTTCTGGTCACTCTGGCTGGTGGTGACCTCCCTTACCTCCCATGCAGGTGGTGACGATGCCAGAGTACCTGAGGAAGCGATTTGGAGGCCAGCGGATCCAAGTCTACCTCTCTCTTCTGTCCCTGTTGCTCTACATTTTCACCAAGATCTCGGTGAGTACACTGCCCTGGGAGCTGGGCACTGGCTGTCTTAGACCTGCCCACACTCACTCCTCAGCACATGCTGGCCCACCAAGGGGCAGCCTATAAGTTTCTATTAACTTGGTCTCTTAGGCCTGTCACTTCTTAGGGTAAAGGCCTATTTCACGCATTAAAGAGCCAATGCATGGAACTCCTTATCCTCTATTGTGGGGAACGTTAAAAACATAAACAGGTTCAAGAAGGCTCAGTGAAAGCCATTCTTAATAGAAGATTAAAAGGCTGTTAGGGATGTCTGAGGGCTGGCCCCAACCTTAGAGGTAGCCGCGGGACTTTGTGCCCTGTCAGGGTCAGAACCTGACTCCAGCTGTCATTTCTGATTCACTTAAACATGGGAAGTCAGTGACAACTCTTGAAGGGACCTCAAAGATGCTCCTGCTTCTTTTATGGACAGGGAAGCAAAAACCCTGGAGATGGAAAGTACTTGCTCAAGGTCCTGAATCAGGAGTAGACCCCAGACCTATGGCTCCAGCTCGCTGTCCTGTTCTCTGTGCGAGGCTTCTTATATTCACTTAGAATCAGCTCCCTGGTCCCTTGGTTGCTAACCATCTAGGGGATTTCTACTCTCTCTGAATCCAACCACTAGGGTGCTCTCCCCACTGTTTAGCCTGTCTCCCTGCCAATTTGCAGAGGGCTACAGGACCCAGTTTGCAGAGCTGAGATTCCTCATAGATTGGCTGGCTATTGTGGTGTGCTTGAGAACTGTGCAGAGCTCTGGGCTGACCCACTGGAGCAAGTCTTGTATTCCTTCTCCACTTCACTTTTCCTTCCTTGAAAGTGTGCAAGTCAACACCTTTTGATGGTACAACAAAACAAATCCAAAGATCCAGGAAACAACTGAAGTTCTAGATAGTCCCCTGACAGCCCAAAAGATGGCGGAAAGAGAAAAGTTTGCTTATAGGTTTTGCCTGACATTTTTTTTTTTATCCCCGAAGTGATTGTCAGTCTGATAAATGTTAAAGCAACAGTGAAAAAAGAAAAAATGAAGAAGGAAAAATGGGAATGATAAAGAATAACAGGAAGAAAATAGGACCTTGGTCAGAAAACTACCTAGGAGGATAATTTGAGAAAGTATGGGGTTGTGGAGGAGCCTGGGCTCCTGGTCTGCTCTACTGCTCACCAGCAGGTGACCTGGTGCAAATAGCTTATTGCTTTACCTCTCTGGAGCTTAGCTTCTTCATGCGTAAGATGGCGATAACAATTCCTGCCTTGCCTATCTCACTGTGTGGTGGTGAGGATCAAATGGATTTATCTGAAAACATCAAGTGTCACTGGAATGTAAAATATGATGATGAATGTGAGAGCCCTCGACACTCCCCGTGAGAAGCCCCCTGGGTTGTCTCAGATCCCTAACCTAGCTAGAGAAGAAGACTATATATTCTGGATACTAGACCCTTATCAGATATGTGATTTGCAAATATTTTCTCCCGTTCTGTAGGTTGTCTTTTCACTTTCTTGGTAGTGTCCTTTGATGCACAAAAGTTTTAAATCTTGGTGACGTCCAAATTATCTGTTTTTTCTTTTGTTGCTCATGCTTCTGAGTCATTTCTAAGACTTCATCGCCAAATCCAAGGGCAGAGAGAAGTGGCGTTTTCTGAGATCACATAGGGAGTAGCTCCAGCTTTTCCTCTTAGTCGGCAGTTACAAAGTGTTCATTGCTCTATCAGAGGGGTTATCTCATTGGCTATCGTCGTTTTTTCTCCTTTTTCTTGTCTTTCCCCATCCAGCACCAAAGGTGAGATTGGACCAATCTCAGCATCTTGCAAAAGATCTGCCCTGGCTGAAATCTGAGTCAGGTGGGCTCTGAACTGAGCCTTCTGCTCTCACTAGGTAGGGTGCTGAAAAAATAGCTGCTAGTGCTTCCATTTCCTGATTACTTGAAGTTGACACAACAACAATGTTAAATAACATTTGCAATTTTTTTATTTTGGAAAATGTCAAACATACACAAGCAGAAATAGAATAGTATAATGAACACTCATGAATCTAATACTCATCATTTGGCTTTAATAATTATAAAGATTTTTCCATTCTTGGTTCATCTATCCCCTTCCACCTTTTTTTCCCAGCAGTATTTTAAATCAAATCCCAGACATCATGTCATTTCACTGTAAATTCTTCAGAATGCTCCTTTGACTTTTAAAAGACTTAACCATTATGCAATTATCACACAACAAAATTTATAGTGATTTCTTAATTTAGGTAGTTTAATACCTGATCCATATCCAGATTTTCCTGATTATCTAAAAAATGTCTTCTTACCAGTTGATTTGTTTGACTCAGGATTGAAATGAGGTCTACACATTGCATTTGATTGTATTTTCTTTAAAGGAAATACATATCTATATATCTATCTATATCTACAGCCTATCACAATTATTTTTTCCTTTTATGTTACTGTCTTCTAGTCTTGGCCTACATGCACATACATTTGTTTTTTGATTGAGGTTTTTTTTTGTTGTTGTTGTTGAGTTGAAAGAGTTCTTCATATATTCTGGATACTAGACCCTTATCAGATAAATAATTTGCAAATATTTTCTCCCATTCTGTAGGTCGTCTTTTCACTTTCTTGATAGTGTCCTTTGATGCACGAAAGTTTTAAATCTTGAAGTTCAATTTATCTATTTTTACTTTTGTTGCTCATGCTTTTGATGCCATTCCTAAGAATCCATTGCCAAATCTAAGGTCATGAAGATTGACTCTTATGTTTGTTCCTAAGAGTTTTATAGTCTTAGTCTTAGGTCTTTGATCCATGTTGGGTTAATTTTTGTATATGATGTGAGGTAGGGGTCCAACTTTATTCTTCTGCATGTGAATATCCAGTTCTTCCAGCACCATTTGTTGAAGGGACTATCATTTCCTCATTGGGTGGTCTCACACATATGTTTTTTACACAACTCAGTGAAGACATGCTCTAGTCAAATGGCGCATAGGGCTTTGTCTTGGAGTTGAGACTGACATCCAGAATTTTTGCTCCCTCCCTGCCCAGCTTCCTGACTCAAACTGCTACTTCCCTTGATTGGTGCCTTTGTAATTTCCCTGCCAATGTGACGATTCCTCCTCCTTCACTTTCTCCTCCCCTCCTTTAGGTTGAGTTTTAAATTACAAGATGAAAACCCTGGGCTTTTCAGTCCTATTTCATTAGAGACCAGTGTACAGAGTCTGCACCAAGTGCTGGGAAGGGTGGAGAAATCAGGCTTCCTGAGGTTGGTGAGGGAATTGCTCCTCCTCTGTTCAGCTTGTGAGGTGGCACCTGTCTAATGAGCATGTAGAGGAGGGCACTGGGATTCCCCTTCTTGGAAGCAAGCCTTCTCCAAGTCCACAGTTCAAGCCAGTGAAGGTCTGTTGACTGCAGTTGCCATGGAAAGGGCACTCTTTGCCCTTGGAGCTGATGTAGGGGTAGTCATATAAATAAACTAAAAGCCCAATCACACTCCCTGCCTTCCCGATCACCTCACCTATTGTTCGGGTTACTGATTAAACCTCTTTGGACTTGGGAGCCCCCAAGTAGCTGAGCTCAGGTCCTGATGGAGCCCATTCCCCAGCAGTCAGCTTTTTCTGAATTTTCCTTTTGAATAGTACTTGATGTAGGCTGCTCCTTCTTTGTGTAATTTCTGGGGCTCCTTGCTGGAGGCCTTGCCCAGCTGTTCCACCTGCTCCTCAGAGCCAGCGATCCCTTGAATAATGCAAAAGAAGGATGATAGCTGCCCTTTATTTAGTGCCAGTCTCTTCAATTAGTCTCCAATAGGGGCTTTACTCATTCCATCTCCAGTTCTCGTAAGAGTACTGCAGGAGTAGGGATTTTTTTAAGTTTTATTTTCTACTTCATGGAAGAGAAAACTGAGTCTCAGAGAAGTTAGGTAATTTGTCCCAAATCACATGGCTAGTGAATGGCAAAGCTAGGATTAGAACCCAGGTCTCTCTAGTCCCAAAGTCTGTGTTCTCCTCATGTATCTGCTCTGTGCTTGGATGGGATGAAGGCATAGGATGACAGAATGGCATAGATCATCTAGTCCTATGTCTTATGCTCTCATTTTATAGACGGGGAAACTGAGGTCCATATTGGGGAAGGGACTTTGTGGGGTTAAACAGTAGCAGAACTAGGATGGGAAGCAGGTTTCCTGATACAGAATCCAAACCATTTGACATTATGTGCCCCCTACTTTCTGTGTCTCTCCTTCCTCTAGTACAGAGTAGGTTAAAATTCAAGACCTTGTGGAAAATTAAGATAGCCAGTTAAATGATCTTCCAATATAAATGAGTTTCTGAGAGTAGGATTTGAGAAGACTGAGGAGAGAATATCCGCACACACTGAGTGTATGAAGGATATGGAGAAGGGACATTCTAGGCAGAGGGGAAGGGCAGGGAAGGGTCAGACAGGTAAGCTTTCGTCTTTATAAAATTGGCTCACTTCAGGTTCACCATGGGTCATAAGGCATGGAATCTTTAAAAGAATTACACTGATGTCAACTGTGCCTGCCAGGAGCACACATTAAGATACACTTGAGTTCAGGGTTCATGGACAAAAGAAAAGAATTGCTAGTTAACAAAGTAGGGTAGTCAGGTCTTTACATTGCACACAAAGATTAATCAATTTTGTTGTGTGTGGAGAGGCATGGGGAGTTTGTGGTGGATGAGAAAAGGAGAAGAGTGGCCTTGTGAGATCCATGTCCAGACAGCGAATAACCAGGGACCCACCAGCAAGTCTTGCAGAAGAATGTAGGGATCCAGTGGGTGTGTAATTGTTGGAAGAGAGAAAGCAAAATGCATTTCAGGTGCAGGGCCCAGGCCATTGGGCAGTGGTGGTGTGGAGTCTTGGCTGTGGCTGCCATCTTGTGGCCACGTCCTTCAGGGCTCTGAGATCCAGACTTGATTATTCCTCCATGCATGCCTCTGAATTTTATTGGCTCCACCTGAGCACACTGCTTTATCGAGTTCTGAGAAGCATTCTGCTCTGTAAAATTTCTTGGCATCATGTATCTTTTTCAAATGTGCACGATCACTTGAGATAAAGCCTCAGATTTTATGAATTACACGTGATGACTAAATATCCCTGTTTATGTTTTCTGGGGCTATTATCACAGATCACAACTGCAATAAACTTTTACAGCAACTCCACTGTCCATTTTGGATCCGTGGGTGAAAAAGACAGCAATGGGGCTGTCTATCTCAACCCTCATTGCCAGGCAGGATTTACCAGGTGCTCGGATAAAAGTAAGACCAGAATGGGCAGCAAATACATGCATATAAAATCACAGGATCTCAAAGCATCAGAGTTGAGATGAAGCAACCTGCCCAAGGCTCACGGTCAGAGACTCAGTCACTCTAAGAGGTTTTCCGATTGGATCTGTAATTTTATTGTTCCCCATGAGTCCCGTGGACATTGTTCAGCCAAACTTTCAAAGTTATGGTAACAAAGCTCTTGGGCTAAATCCCACTTCCTGTCTGTTTTTGTAAATAAAGTTTTACTGGAACACAACCACACTCATGTGTGGATGTATTGTTCATGGCTGCTTTCATGCTTCCATGGTAGAGTTGAGCAGATTGGACAAAGAACGTATGGCCAGCAAAGCCTAAAACATTTATGATCTGATCCTTTACAGAAGAAGTTTGCTGACCCCTGGTCTAGAGGACTGTGATTTTCTATTTCACTTCAAGTTGGTTTTGCCTAGCAGCATTGGGAAAATTTGCTTTTTTCTTTCCCTCCCACCCTCCCTCCCTCTCTCCTTTCCTTCCTTCCTTCCTTCCTTCCTTCCTTCCTTCCTTCCTTCCTTCCTTCCTTCCTTCCTTCCTTCCTTCCTTCTTTCCTTCCTTTTTTTCCCTTTGTTAAAGGCTAAGAGTAGTTTAGAGAAGGAGCAATCTGGGATGAGCTGTGAAACAAATGGTCTCATAGGAATATAGGGGAGTTCTTTTATATCAAAGCTGGTGGTATAGTCCTTCTCCAGTCCTCTATTTTTATAAATCAAAAAAGTAATGACATACTTAAACATACAGAAAAATACAAATAATAATAGAGCAAATACTACTACCCAGATTCTATAGATATAAACAGTTTATCATTTTTTAAAAAAAGAAATTAAATGTTACACAGGAAGGCTTATCTGTATCCTTCCTTGACCCTATTTCTTTCCTTCTTAAAAGGTAAATGCTATCTTGAACTTGGTATGTATTCTTGGTCTATGTTTATATATATATATATATATTTATATATATATATATATTTATTTATTTTGTATAAATAAAATAAATAAATATATATATATTTATTTATTTTGCTGAGGAAGATTTGACCTGAGCTAACATCTATTGCCAATCTTCCTCTTTTTGTATGTGAGCCGCTGCGACAGCATGGCTACTGACAGACGAGTGGTGTAGGTCTACACCTGGGAACCGTACCTGGGCCACTGAAGTGGAGTGTGCTGAACTTAACCAGTTGGCCACTGGGGCTGGCCCTATGTTTTTATATTTTTACTATATATATGTGTGTACTTACATATCCACAAAGAATATATTATGTTTTTAAATTTCTTCTCCCTCCACCTTTGAAACTGTAAGGAAAATGTAATAATGGTATTTAAGAAAATCTGGAGGGGCAAAGCATGCGTAATCCTATAACTCTAATACAGACGTTTTCATATTTTGGCCTTGCCCATATTGTGTGCTTTCATTTACAGAATTGCAATCAGAGTATGCATAACATTTTGTGGTCTTTCTCCCCACTCTTAGCATCAAACTGTACACGTTTTTCCATGTTTCCATCTTCAGAATTATTATTTTTAGGGACTGTAGAACATAATTGTTGATATACAATTTTCAACAAGCCATTTAAAAGTCCTCTGGTAGACAAAAAGCTCTTGATGGTGGTCATCCTGGGGTCAAGCAATGATAATGTGGTCACTTTTACTTTTTGATGAATAACTTTCTATGCTGTTTGTTTTTTAACTATACACATAAATTATTTTATTTTAAAAGTAATTAAAAAATTGTTTTTGATTAAAAAATACCTTGCTCTCTGCAGAAAATATTCCAGAAAGGAGGACCTTTACCTTTCAGTGTTGTGGAAAGGTCATTGAACTTGGAAACAGAAAACCTGTATTTTAGCTCTTGAGCAAGTCATTAACTTTGTGTCTCTCATTGGTAAAGTGGAGCCAATTTACCTGTCCCATTACCTTGTTTTGAGGATCCAAACAATGCTTGTCTCTGAAAGCCCTTGGTAAACTATAAAACCTCCTAGATATGGAGGGAAAAAATCCCTAGTGAAGAAGGATAAAGTTTGGGCACCTAGGGGGTCCAAAGACTCGTGTCAGAGCGCTTGGGCTAAAGTGAGTTTAGCTGTGGTATCCCCGGGCACTCCTGCTGGCTTTTGGGGTTCCAAGGGCAGAAAGAATTTGTCCTTGAACTTAGGAATGACTCATGGGAGGAAGAATTTGTTAAGTTTCTTCAATTCATGAGGGAGGATTTCTTAGAATTCTTTATCTGCCCTGCTAGCTGGAAATAGAGTATATAAAACAAAATTTCTATTATCTCAACACTTTCAGTAAGTCTTTATATATTATTATAGCATTATCTTAGGAGTTATGTGTTACTTATTTGTGACTAAAGACAGCAAGGCAAATATTAATGAGGGTATGACAGTCGTCTATGGCGTCTTGTCATAAAGCATTACATATTAACTACTCTGGAGAATAAACCAACCAAGGGCATTTTTAAGGCAGTAGCAGCCTTGGAATCTTTTTATAGCTCACTTATGCTTATTAGCTAATCCACCAAATCAAAAGTGTATGCACTTAACAGCATTCCGTTGTAATCAACGAATGGGGCCCTTTCAATTGAAATAAATTTATGTGATGATATAGAGGCATGGGAGGGGAGGGACTGGGAATATGAATACTCATCACAATTTCAAATGGCCTAGTGGGCAGAGTCAGGAAGGAGTGGTTATTTCACCCTAAACAAGGCTAACATGCAGCTGAAGGCTCTTTCTTCCTCTTCAGCCACTGCAGAGGGGAGAGTCGAACAGATCCAGAACCTGGGAGGCGAATGCTCTTCTTGTCTACAGGACTTTCCCACTTCTAGCTACTGAGAATCACCCTGGGAGGGGAGTCTCTTTCTAAGTCACCATCTCTCTCCTCACTTCCTGGCTCTGCTTCTCCTCCTTCCCCAGGAAAGATGCTGACATTGGGTCCCCTGGGGCTAAGAGAATTTGTAGGGGAGCTAAGGCACCAGGTCATCAAGAGACCCATCTTGGGGGAGGGGGTCATGCATTAGCACATAAACATGGAGTTATTGTAAGACAAGCTCTCTGCCATCTAAAAGAGGCAGGGAATAGGAGATTTGGTTGGTGAGGAACTGAACCAATGGAAGGCCCTGAGGAGCTGCCAAGAAGTAGAGAGGGGAAGATAAGAATAGAGAAGAGACGCAAGGGCACTATTCCCCAGGGCTCTGACTGGGTGGCCCTTTACATGCCCTGAAATGTAGTAGGTTTTGTGCAATAAAAGAGCTCATGCATTGCATCTAGGGGAAGTCTAGTTTCTTTTGCACCTAGAGACTTGAAAGCAAAAGATTCACCATGATCATCCCTTAATACTACCCCTCCTGGTACTATTTTGGAGCTGCCATGAAAATTCTTTTTGGGTGACCCCAGCATTCTCTGTTGGTTTAAATTAGCAATGACACCGTCCAGCCAGGTAGAAAGTTCTTTATGGGGCTAAATGAGGCAGGGAGGAAAAAAAGAACTGCATCAAGAAATGGGGAATTCAGGGGTGAAGAAGGAAAAATTCTCCCTAAAGTTACAAGAGATAGTCTAGATGAAACCACCTAACACCAAGCCTGCCATGCAAGAAGTTCTTGGTGATGTTCTGGTTGTGTTTGAGTCAAGATGGACTCCACTGGGGCTGGGAAGGTAAAATGATGTTGGTAAAGTTACTCTCCACTCGAAGAGATGGGGGCTTTCTCTGTCATGGACTCTCTAGCACTCAAACTTGGTTTTGGGAATAGATCTGATAATCCTTTGAACATTGATGTAAATGATGGATAATAGCTTAGTGCAGCAGTCCACTGGTGGGTTGGGAGGAACCTTATGGTGTTAATAGTTGCTTGGCAAACAGAATTCCATAGTTAAATAAGTTTGCAAAGGGTCATTTATCATATTCCTCTCCTGAGGATTCACAATATATTAAAGACTCAGAGAAGTAGTGTGGTAAAGAAAATGCCTTAACTTTGTTTAATCCAGCATTTCACCAACCTCTTTGATAATGGAATCCTTTTTTCCATGGACTACCTATTATCATCTTGAATAAAGATTGCTGAGAAACTTAGGACTAGAGCATGACTCTTTTTCAAGTATTCATATCCTTTTATTTTATTGTGGTAAGAATACTTAACGTGCCACCTATCCTCTTGACAAATTTTAAGTGTAAAGTACATTATTTTTGACTATGGGTACAGTGTTGTGTGGCAGATCTCTAGAGCTTATTCTTTCTACTTAACTGAAACTTTATGCCTGTTGATTGATAACTCCCCATTTCCCCCTCCACCCAGCCTCTGGTAATCACCATCCCAGTCTTTGCTTTTATGAATTTGACTATTTACCTCATATATGTGGAATCATGCAGTACTTCCATATTGTAACTGGGGATAAAAATATGAACCTCTAATTGTGGGATTCAGCCAAAGCTCAAGGGGGTGTGGGCCAACATTGGGCCCCAGAAATCACAGGCATTGACACTACTCAGGAGACAGCTTCTGCTAATCCCTCCAAGTTTACCCCCCTGTCTCTGCGGCTGAAGTGCCTCAGCCACAGCCTGGGCACACCCTGCAACCAGCTGGCCTCTCTCACTGCTAACTCCACCTCTCCTCTCCTTCCAGGCAGACATCTTCTCTGGGGCTATGTTTATTAACATGGCCTTGGGCCTGGATCTGTACCTGGCCATCTTTCTCTTATTGGTAGTCACTGGCATTTACACAATCACAGGTGAGTCTACTCAGCTCAAGCCCAGCTCGGGGTTAGGCACTTGTGAAGGATAAAGGGAAGTAGGAGATGGCTTTTCCCTTTGAGGAAGAGAGATACACCCAGGAAACAGCTTAAGGGTGGGGTATTTGCTTGGCTCCAACTCACAGACCCTAACAAGTTATATACTAGTTGCTCCAGAAAACCCCAGTGTTGGCTGGAATAGTTAGGACAGCTTCTTACAGGAGGTGGGGAAGGGCTTGGTCTTGCAGGATGTGGAGAGAACTTGGCTGAGTTGGGAGAATCAGGGAGGGAATACCAGGTGCAAGGATAGTGAGAGCAAGGGGACGTAGACAGGAATGGGCATAGCCTGGGATGGAGGCAGGATGAGAAAGCAGATGAGCTTGGCTGGAGGACGGTGGTCGATGGAAAGTAGTTGGGGTGTGTGTGTGGGTGATAAAGCCTGATAGTTCAAATGAGGTCACAGTGCAGAGGCCTTGGAAGCCAGACAGAGGCCTTGGATTTGATGTGACAGAGACTGGCAGGCGCTGTAGAAAGAAAGAGAGTGAGTGACACACACAAAGAGATTTTAGAGGAAGACTCAAGACATGATTGGAGAAGGTAGTGACATGAATAACATTTGGGGGCACCTTTGCAGAGGTGTTACTCTGCCCCAGTTAGCGGGGCCAGGGTCAGTGATGGAACTTGCTGCTCAGCGGAAGCCCCATAGCTTTGGGGACAACAAGTTACTGAGATGGTCTGAAAAAAGAGACAGTAGACATACAAGTAGCAGTTTGAAATGTGCCGATTTGGTAATGTCCCTAGGCATCTTGTAGAGATGTCAGCTCTTTGGTCTTCCCTTCCTTTGTTTGTGGAAGATGCATCTTCCTACCACAGAAGAGCCATCTCCTGGCCTAAAAGAAGCACATGAAGCTCTTCCTCCTCAAATAGGGAGAAAATTCTCCTTTCCCCAAGGCCTTCCCAGCATTTCTGTGAAAAGTGGAGATGTTGGAACATGCTAGGTAGCAGGCTGCTGTAACAGGACAAGGGAGGGAAGGAAGGACAGGCAGGTGGGGGACTGAGGGGCATGCTTGGAAGGGTGGAGGGTGGGGAAAGGAGGCAGGCTGACAGGTTGCCCTCCTACGTGGTGTCAGATGTATTGTCTCCTTGCCTGCTTAGGGGGCCTGGCGGCTGTGATTTACACGGATACCCTGCAGACCGCAATCATGCTGGTGGGGTCTATTATCCTGACTGCATTCGGTAAGTGGGGCTGGGGCAGGCTGAGGAGGTGGGGAGGCAGAGGTAGTGGCCTAGGGAGAGAAAAGTGAGTCCAGCCTTGTTGCTGGCCCCTGGCCCAGGCGGTGAGTTGGGCGTGCTCTGCCCTCCCCAGGGGAATGGTCTGGCCATCACTGTGAGTGTGCAGGGGGCACCTTCCTCAGCCCTGGAGGTCTCAGGCTGAGCCTGGCCCAGACAGCACCCGGATTCCTTGCTGCCCTCTCCAGACAATCTGGGCCAGTGGTCTCCAGAGTGGGCCTCTGATGACATGGTCTTCTACCCATAGAGAAACTGGACAAAGAAGAGGATAAGACTAGACATCCCTCAGGCTAAATATATTCACATGTTGCATCTTAAATTACGTCTTATCTACATTTTGATGTTAAATGTTCTTTTTTTTTTAATGTATTGGTGATAGTAATTGATCATTTTCTTGTTTATATCCTTATTTGACAAAATTTTAAAAATCAGCCACTCTATGTTGGGCCCTCCCCGCCGCCCAAATTTTGAAATTTTATTTGTCTGTGAAATCCTAAAGATCCAGAGGTGCTTGCTATGGGAGGATATAAAATGCATTTTATTTTTACGGGGCTCATGCCTTCTGTGTGTTCTGTGGAGCCTCTTATCCGCTCTCTGTGTTCTGTTTTCCAAGAGCTGGAAATTCCCATTCTTTGTCCACCCCACCACTGCTAGGACCACTGCTGGGACCAGGCTGTGTGTCTCTAGGTCTGTGTCCGGGATCTCAAAGGCTGCTACTGGCAGCAGGGGGTGTGGGGAAAAATTGAGTCTTTGAATCTGGTTCAAAACCAAAGTCTTTCTTTTAATAATTCAAATACTTTCCCTTTGTAAAGAGGTTTATGGTTGGAGTACTTTCACAGATTATTGTTTTGGACCCTCCCAGTAGCCCCCTGAGGGGGCTGGGCAGGGTTAATAAACCCATTCTATGGATGAGAAAGCCGAGGCCCGGAATGAGAAAGCGACTTGCCCAAGACCACACAGCAAGAGTTCTGGCTGTGTGGGTTGGGTCCTCTCAGTTTCTCAGGCATCCACAGCAGGAAACTGCCATGAAGAATTGAGAGCTTCAGAGTGTTGATTTTCGTTGCCGATGTTTTCCAGCTTTTCACGAAGTGGGAGGGTATGAAGCCTTCGTGACAAAGTACATGAAAGCTATTCCAACCCTGATTTCTGATGGAAACATCACCATCAAGGAAGAATGTTACACCCCAAGGGCCGACTCCTTCCACATCTTCCGAGATCCCCTCACGGGAGACCTGCCATGGCCTGGGATCATCTTTGGGCTGAGCGTCCTCACCCTGTGGTACTGGTGCACAGATCAGGTACTCACGTTGGATGTGCAGGGTGGACAGGGTCTCCCTCAGGGCACTACAGGGACTCTGGCTTGTGGAGCTGGGAAAGGTAGGGCAGGGCTCATGTAGTCTGAGGGTCACTGAGTCTTGGTGACATGGGAGTGCCAGGTGACATGGGAGTACCCCAGGAGCTAGGGTAGCTGGAGGGTGTCTCAGGGTCTCTGGCCTGCACCCCTCCCTCACCAGCGTTTCCCTGGCAGGTCATTGTGCAACGCTGCCTCTCAGCCAAAAACATGTCTCACGTGAAGGCTGGCTGTATCATGTGTGGGTACATGAAGCTGCTGCCCATGTTCCTCATGGTGATGACGGGAATGCTCAGCCGCATCCTGTACACAGGTGATGCCTTCTGCTGGACTCACTGGCCACTCTCTCCCATTTTCCTGGCCCTGAGTCACTTCTAAGCCCTGTAGCTCCCTGTCCCTTCTTTTCCGCCCGCTTCTTCTTTTCTTGCCATGATTACTGTTCACCCTCAAGTGAGCAACTTGAGGTCACAGAACCTGTGGAGTTGTCTTCCCTGGTTCCTTACATTGGCAATTGCTTTTCCCCTTTTTGCAAATTCTCTGAAGTCACAACGTGCCTCCAACTGTAGCTTCTTCTAGCTAATATTTTCTCACTTCTTGCTCAGTCCTTCCCCGTCTAGGCTGTAGTAGTGTGTATGACGTCCTTAATGTCCAAGGACCTCAGCTGCCAGCCAGTCTCTAATTGCCTGCTGCTCTGAGCTCTTTGTCCTGGACCATTTCCTTGAAGGAGCCCTGAGCTTTGCACTTTGCTATCCAGGGTGATAGATTTCTTTCTTTGCCCTTTTGTGGCCTCTCCAACATTGCCATTTGCATGTGTTCTTTGATCAGTCATCATAGGTCAAAACTGTTTCCTTGGACATTAAATAATGACAAAAAAGAGCACTATGGAGTGAAGGTTTGGTGAGCGCCCTCCAAAATGAAGACAGGACAGTCTGGGGGCAGTTGCTGCCATTGGCTGTGAAAAGTGCTCCTAATAGTGCTCTCACACTCCTACACTAGCTCGCCTGTCATGAAAAAAATATTCCTAATTTAATAGTTTATATTATAATAGGTATAACGCACATAAAAGTATTTCGGATAGACTGTAATGAATCACTGCTATATGGGGCAGCACTAAATGACATACCTGTAGTAGGTACCTCATAAATGTTTGTTGGTCTGAATTCTATAGAAGTTTCTAGAATTTCCTCTAAGTCTCTAGATCTAAGTCTCTAGATGTTCCTTTCCCCTCCCAGGCTACTTTCTTTCTATCTCTACTCCAGATTTTCCACATCTTAGAAGTATTGCCCAACTGCCCTCCTACTGGGGAATTCCCTCAGTTGTCTGGGCATTCAACTGGGCATTCACAACAGCTGCTTAAAATAAACTTCAAAATTAGGAACCACAAGTCACTGTGATATTCAGGAGAAACAGGATAATAGTCCCTGCTGAGCTGCCTGGTAGCTAGCTAAAGTGTAAGGACTGTGCTCCCTCCCTCCCCACCCTAACATTTCTTTGCTTCCCCCCTCCTTTGCCTAGGAACTCTTTTCTCCCCAGTCAGAGCTTGGGGATGGTCAGGACCAGCAGGGAAGGGGCATGGCATGGAAGGGCTCAGCTGGGAGCTTCAGTCTTTGTGGAACCATTTCAGGGCCTTGGGCAGGAATGTCCTATTTGAAGCCTTGTTTTAAGAAAGTGCATCTTGGGGCCAGCCCTGTGCCTTAGTGGTTAAGTTTGGTGTGCTCCGTTTCAGCAGTCTGGGTTTAGTTCCCGGGTATAGACCTACACCACTCGTTGGTGGCCACGCTGTGGTGGTGATCCACATACAAAATAGAGGAAGATTGGCACAGATGTTAGCTCAGTGTGAATCTTCCTCAGAAAAAAAGAAAAAAAAAGAAAGTGAATCTTGGAAATATTTCCCCAATGTCAGCTTGCTGACATGGCTCTTTATCTCTCACCAGAAAGAGTGGCCTGTGTCCTCCCCTCGGAATGTGAGAAATATTGTGGCATCAGCCTTGGCTGTAGCAACATTGCCTACCCAACCTTGGTGATAGAGCTCATGCCCAACGGTAAGAGGCGTCCTCGCTGGTGGGTCTTTCTTGGGAGGCTGGTGGGGCTTAGGCTTTACACAGGTTTCTGTGGACCTTCTAGGGCAAAGCCATTTCTGATCCTGCGGGGCCAGTAGGGAAAGCATCATTCTGGGTGTTCTCAGTTTTTGAACATGTCTTCCTTCAGTGGGAGGGAGACATATGAGTTGGTTGGGCTATATGAGACCTGATGCTTGTCCATCAGTCAGGCTTGGAAAAGGGATGATCTGAAAAAGTGTTAGGGAAAAACATGACGTTTCCATGCTCATCTTCTTCAAAAGAAGGTCTTTTGAAACTCTCCAATAGACATTAACATAAAGACTTGAACTAAATGGAGTATTACCTGGAAAATGAATCGAATTGCAGACTGTTCTCAGGAAAAACATGGTGACAAGGGCAAAGAGTGATTTTAGTTCTAGAATGAGGATGTTTGAGGCAGTCGATGGATGGGAAACAAGGGGGCTTCTCACTAAAGAGAATGTGTTATCCTAGGAGATTGAGTACTTAGAGTCCAGAATAGTTAGAGTTTTGGGGCAGACCTGTGAGGTTACTGTTCATATTTCATGTTGAAGAAAAACCTAATTCTGGCTCAAGAGATGCAAATCTCATCGGGTTCGGGGTCTCAGGAGACCGAAAATTCAAAGATATTGACCAGGAAAATTTAGAATAAACTTATATAAAATTTTCTTACTGAAAGGAAACATAGAGACCATCTAGTCAAAACTTTCATTTTACAGTTGAGGAAACTCATACCTACAGAGAGAAAGTGACTTTTCCAAGGCCACACAGCAACTCAGTGTCTGGCTTACTTAACTCTGCTCAAGGCTGGAAGTGAGGAATTTGGGATGGTCTTTTGTTTTAACCGCAGACTGGATGCATGACGCTGGGTAAACCATTTGCATTTAAATTCTATAAAAATGGGAGTAATAGTTAACTATTCCACTGAGCCAGGCTGCTTATTAATTAAGGTTGCAATTAGCAAGAGTCTCATGGCTCTTTTAGAGTTCCGGCTTGAATTACATTGCCCTTTCTGGGGGTGTTTATGTTATTTATTTAGATTGGCAGATCCTGATGCGGACTGTAGTTCTGAACACTGTGTTAGTGCGGACTGTGCATGACAGAAAGACCTGTGGGCCAGAGGACAATGAGATGCTGTTTACATGTGCCATTGTCATTCCCTCACTTTTGGCTGGAATCTGGCTTCTGTAAACACTGAATTCCCTAATGACTGCCATGTGCTAGATCGAATAGATATTTTCCGTTCCTCATCTTACTGGATCCCTCAGTAGCATTCAGCATTATATATGACTCATCTTTCTTGAGTTACTCTCTTCTCTTGGATTCCATAATAACTTCTATTTGTGTTTTTTCCCCTCCTCCTTTCAGCTGCTCCTTTCTGTCTCGTTTTCCAATTCAGCCTCCTCCACTCAGCCAGTAAATGTTCCCCCACCAATCCATCACCAAATTCTGCCCATTTTGTCTCCTAAATATCTCTTATATTCATCTACCTCTCTCTATTTTTACCTCCATCACCATACTCTGATATACCATTACTTCTTGCCTGGACTGCTGTAAAATTAGGTTCAACAAATATTTGTTGAGTGAGTAAATGAATGAGAGTTTGAAAAGAGTGTAGTACAGAGGGGAGAATTCTATCCCAGCTTAGCAATTAACAGGTGAAGTAACCCTGACAAATGGCAGAGCTAGCGCTCGAAGCCCTACCTACTAACTCTTTGAAATGGACCTTTGTTTTATCAAATGAAAAGTGACAGAGTTGGACTAGATCCCGATAACTCTTTTTGTAGCTCCAATAGTCTGCAATCTACTTTATACGAACTCAGGAGGAACCATTTAAAAAACCTCTCCACAAATAACAAAATAATTGGAATAGGCAGTCTTTATGTTTCTTTTTGCAAGGCTGTAGATGAAAATGAAACTATAAAATGATTTACAGATACAAAACCTAGAGGAATGTTAGAATCATGTTCCAAAAAGATCTCAAAATGCAGGAATGTTGACTCAGATCTAACAAGCTGAAGTTTAATAGAGAGATATGTCAAGTTCTATATATTTGGGTCCCCCAAACCCAGTTATACAGAATATTGCAATAAACTGAGGATGTTTAGCTTGCAGAAGAGAGAGTTCAAGGGGACATAAGTTGTCTTTGAATATATGAATGACGGTAAAATAAATGAAGAGTAACACCTCTTCTGTGGGGTAGCATAAGACTGTGTCTGAGGCTGTAGAGAGCCAGACATCAGCCTAGTCAGGACCGTCCAAGAGAGAGCAGGCCCCCTGTGGGGTAGTAAATTTCCTGTTGCGGGAGGGTTTGGGCAGAGGAAATGTGTAAGGGATTCATGTGTCAGATGGATGGTAGGCCTAGGTGACCCTGAGAGTACTTCTGAGACTGTACTCTCAATGGTGGGACCTCAGCATGGCCTGGCCTTCCAGCTTCAGCGGGGACAAGCTTGTGCTCTCCTTGGTACAGAAGGAGTAATAGAGTTTATAGCCAACCGTGCTTGCCGTGATTGGGAAAAGTTTTAAAACAACAATCCCTTAATCTGATTTGGGCTGCTGTAGTATTATCCCCATTTAACACACCAAAAAATGAGGCCTAGATATTGGCATGACTTGCTTAGGTCAGAGTTGGAAATAGAGCCTTGTATTTTTTTTTCAATGACAACTTTATTAAGCTGTAAGTCACATACCATATGATTCATCCACTTAAGGTGTACAACTCAACGGTTTTTAGTATATTCAGAGTTGTGCAACCATCACCACAATTTTAGAAAATTTTTGTCACCCCCCAAAAGAAATCCTGTACCCATTAGTAATCACGCCATATTTCACCCCAATCCCCCCTATGGCCTAGTGCAGCCCTAGGCAACCACTGATCTACTTTCTGTCTCCATGCATTTGCTTACTCTGGATACTTCATATAAATGGGATCATACAATATTTGTTATTTTGAGCCTGGCTTCTTTCACTTAGCATAATGTTTTCAAGGTTCATTCATCTTGTAGTATATATTAGTACTTCATTCCTTTTTATTGATGAATAATAGTCCATTGAATGGGCATACCACATTTTGTTTATCCTTTCTTCAGTTGATGGACATTTGGGTTTTTCCCACTTTTTAGCTATTGTAAATAATACTGCTGTGAACATTCGTGTTCAAATTTTTCTGTGGACATATGTTTTAATTTCTCTTGGGTAGATACCTGGGAGTGAAATTGATGAGTCATGTGGTAACTCTATGTCGAACTATTTACGGACCTGCCAGACTATTTTCCACAGTAGCTGTACCATTTTACATTACTGCCAGCAATGTATGAGGGTTTGTATGTCTTCACATCTCCACCCACACTTGTTACTATCTGTCTTTTTTTTTTTTAAATTATAGCCACTCGAGAGGGTGCAAAGTCAGTATCTCATTGTGGTTTTGATTTGAATTTCCCTGATGTTGATCATCCTTTCATGTAATGATTAGCCATTTGTTTATCTTCTTTGGAGAAGTGTCTCTTCAGATCCTTTGCCCATTTTAATTGGGTTATTTGTCTTTTTATTATTGAGTAGTAGGAGTTCTTTATATATCTATTCTGTATACTAGACCCTTATTAGATATATGATTTGCAAATATTTCTCCCATTTTATGGGCTGCTTTTTCACTTTCTTGAGAACCTCATCTTTTGAATTCTAGTTTAAGCATTTGTGTTATATCATGATTCTTTTGGGTGAGAGATCTTATAAAAGTCCCCTCATATGGAAACACACACACACACCATCACCACCACTACCATCATAATCATCATCCAGTTACAAAGTATTTACCTCATATATATTTTATTCTAGCTCTTTGTTGACTGCTGTGGGCTTACCATATAATTTAAAGCCACAGTCCATTCCTTAAAACTTCTAGTCTTTCTGGAGAGAGAAATCAGAGAACACGGCATGGTTTCAGAATGCAAACAAACTTTGAGTCCTCACACTTTCCAAGCACAAAAGAGCTGAGGTGCTGTGTGTGCCACTCAGAACCTCCTTCTCTTCCAGGACTGCGAGGCCTGATGCTGTCAGTCATGTTGGCCTCTCTCATGAGCTCTCTGACCTCCATCTTCAACAGCTCTAGCACCCTCTTCACCATGGACATCTACACCAAGATCCGGAAGAGAGCATCTGAGAAAGAGCTCATGATTGTAGGAAGGTAAATGCAGCATTCTCATGCCATGCACCATGGAAGCTTGAATAATCAGAGAGGTTCCACCTATGTTACCCCTCAAGCTAGGGAAGATTGCTAGGTGCCTGCATAGAATGGGAGTTATCTCTGTAGCTAGTTATGTTTGCCCTTGAGTGGCATTTAGTTTTCATTTGGAGATCATCAAACAATGCCCCTCTGGAGCAAGAAGTGACATCAGAGATCATCTAATCTAACTCTTATTTTATCAATGAGCAAAATGAGGCTTGTCCTGCTTAGATCCAGGCAACCTGGACAGCGGCAGGGCCAAGACTGGAACTCATGGCCAACTGAGTTCTTGTCCAAGGCTGTTTATACTGCCCCACACTGTCCTCCTCAGCCTTCAACACTGTAGCTCTCCACATTGGCTGTCTTTGAGGCCCAGATGCCTCCAATGCCTTGACCCTTTGCTGCAACATTTTGCAAGACCATTGTGAGGGTCAAGTGTGCTTATGAGCATGCTCTGTAAAGTCTAAAACACCATGCTATGTGCACATTTGTTATTGTCAAATGGGTCAATGGACACAACAGGGTACTGAAGGCAGTAAGCATTGTTACATGTGTCAGGAGTGCTCATGATCACAGTTATCCATGGAGCAGATTCTCTGGATAGGGGACTAGCAGAAGGTCTGCTATGTCTCTCCATTGGGCTAAGGCAGGTCGACCTCCTCAGGGCAGGTAGAACCAGTCCGTGGGGTGTCAGTCAAGAGAAAGGTTTCCATTGAGTGCAGGAGGGGTATGAGCTGCTGCCTCATAGGTCTTATCAGCAAGATTAGGGCAAAGGAAGGAAAAGAAAAATGACAGGCCTCTCTTGGGTGACAAGACTCGGGAGGTCTGACCAGGCCCGAGTCTACTACTCTGCTTCACAGGAACAGCACTGTTACCCTGACTGGTTTTCCCTCAGAAAGGAGTTTCCTGACTTTTTCTGTTATTTCTAAGGCTCAAGATGCAACATGGGAAGAGAACCATTTTGTTGCTTGGCTCAGGGCTGGACCCCTTGGCCCTGAGATTATGTTGTGGCTCACATTTTTGTGCATCCCAGGACTGCTGCCCGGGGGCTTGTCCTTGCCCTGGATAAGCTTACAGTTATAAGAAACAATTCTATTCTTTGCTGTGGGGACTGTAAGAGCAATCAGGGGATCAGAGAAGGGAGAGGTGAGTGTGGCATGTGGTAGATGGGGAAGGCTCCTGTGGGAGGAAGACCCTGAGCTGAGTCCAAAATGATGGGTAGGATTTGGGTAAATGGGGGGCAATAGGAAGGGAATTCCAGAAGGAGAAATATGTGAGTGAAAACACTGCTTTGTGAGGGTTAGTTTAAGACTCTTTTGCCTTAAATTCAAGTAAGTGAGGTAAGGGAAACACAGCCTTCTTTCTAAATAAATCAAGATTATAAGTAAGAAGAGCTTGTAAGGGAACCCTACACTCTTTTCAGGACTTGAAGTGAAACTCAAAAGGAGGAGACCTGAAAATACCTGGTAGTGTGCCTTTCTATCTAGATTGTTCCTTTATAAACTCTTCTTGGCTTGTGTTTTTAACTTTATTATGAAGAAGAAGAAAGAGGAGAAAATAATAATTATAGTCTTTACCATTTATTGGGTGTCTACTATTTGCTAGGTGTTTTACTATCAGTAATCCTTGTCCCAACCTTGCAAGATTTGCCTTATTATTCCAGATTTACAGATGGAGAAATTGAGACTCAGAGAGCTTAAGCAACATGTCCAGTATTACACAGAGAGAGTAAGAATTTGAATCCAGGACTGTCTGGCTCCAATACCCTGATCCTAAACTCTACTGCCTCTCAGAGGGAGATTCTCTTATGGTAGTGACTGGGTCTACATTGCTATTGAAAGTCAAGGGCATTTCACTTACTCATAGGCATAGATGATTTTCCTGAAGAGAGAGAATACAGAAGAAAAAAGCCTAAAGAATGAATTTGCTAATTATTTTTCCTTGCTGTGATCATATTATATGTATGTAATATGTATATATA